TATCCTTTTCCCATTGTCAAAGAAGATCAACCCAGGATTTATTTATTTATTTTCTAAATTGGCTGAATGAATACAGAACATCTAAATACCGCATAGGGCAAGCAGCACTTGAACATCTATTAAAATTCCTTCCGTAAAAAAAAAGTGAGCTGCAACTCTTCCTACCTTATGTTCGCTTTTGCCAAAAGCTAAAGAAACGGAGCTGAAATACTCAAAACTCAGTAAGCACAACTTTCCAGCGCTTTCCAGAGGCCTGGGGGAAACGAAGCTCCCTTTGACCTTAACAGAGCTCAGCTTCGCCATTGTCAACACCCACACAAGTGCAGCTGAGGGACGAGCAGACACCATGTTGGGGGGCAGCTGCCATATTGGGGGCCAGCCGCCATGTTGGGGTCTTCCTGCCATGCTGGGGTTTGCTCCCCCCTCAGCCCCCATGCTGGCAGCTGGGCCACAAGGCTAAGCTGGAGGAGGGGAAAGCAGCTTGCCTCCACGCTGCCAGCCAGGAAAGAAGAACATGGCAAAGAAGCCCGCAGTTTGGCTTGCAAGTTGATAAACCATGAGTAAGAGGGAATCTGGCTTGGTGCAAAAGCAGCTGGGAGCACGTGGCCCCTCAGCACCAGGCAGCTCTGCCACCGCGCTGCCACCCTGAAGGAGCCACGGACTCCTCACCTTTTAGCGCTCTGCAATTTTATTTTCTTTCCTCAAGCGCTTCTGCAACTCATTACCGCTCCTTCAACCCGGTGCGAAGAAGAGAAGCCAAAACTCCGAGCGCGAAGCGACCTCACGGCCGCCCTCGGGGCGCGCGGGCACCGCGCCACGGCTCCCCTCAGCCCGCGGCGCCGCCCCTCCCGCGGCACGGCCACGGCGCCGCCTGCTGCTCCCCCTAGCGGCCGTGCCCCGCCCCGCCCCTCCCGCCGAGCCCCCGCCCCCCGCTGACGTGCGGCCCCGCCCCCGCGGCTGCCCGCTGCCGCCGCGACTTGAGGGCGAGCTCGGCGGCCGCCCCGCGCTTCTGTGCGCTCCGCTCTTCGTCGCTCCGCACCTGGCCGCGCGGCTCCCGGCCCGCCGGCGGGATTTACGGCGGCCGCCTCGCCGCAGCCGACGTCCAACCCGCGCACCGCAGGTAAGTGCGGCTCCGCGCTGCCTCCGCGGGAGTTGCGCGGCTCGGCCGCGGGGTGAGGGAGGAGAAGAAGGAGTCGGAGGGGGGCACGGCTCGGAGCCGCCGGCGGGGAGCGGAGCCGCGCGGCCCCCGCGCTCCGTCCCTACTTGCCGTCAACTTTTGCGCGGCTCCCCGAGCTCCAGCCCGCCTCCCGCAGCCGGCGGCGGAGCTCCGCGCCCCGCTCTCGGCGCTGCTTTCTGCCCCCGGGCTTTTGTTCCCCTGCCCGCCCGGCCCGGGGTCCCGGCGTCGTGCGGAGAGTCGGGAGAGAGGCAGAAAACGAGTAGACTTAAAGCGGCGATTCGTTCTCTCGACCCCGATTTCCTCGCTTAAAACGCGCTGCCCGAAAAGACAGAAGCATCGCTTGCGCTCCCCAGCCTGCCGCCCGGGGATATGGCGTCTTAATGAACATTTCTTGGAATTAGCCAAATAAATGCGTTTACCGAGCCGAGCGTGCGAAGGCAGGCAGGAATGATGCGCTGCGAAACGCGCAGATGTGGCCGCGCACGGGGACAGATGTGCGGGCTGCCAGCCCTTCCCCTCCACCCGAAAATCCCCTCCGGTCTCTCGTTGCCCCCCCAGCCCCGTGAGCCCGCCCGGCTTCTGCTCGCTGTGCCAGTGCTCCGTAAGGAAAAGCTACGCCGGGCTTCGTCTGAAGCCTGTTTGTTACTTTAAGACCTGCCGAGGCCGTGCCGATCGCCCTCTCGCAGCTTTTCCCTTTTCTCCAGCCACCACGTTTCCCCACTTCCCAAAGCCGTATATATATTTTCCCCGCTCCTCGCATACGGCAGAAGCAGCGCCCAGCTTTGGTGCGCGTTCGAATATCGATTCTCCCTTTTTTTTTTTTTTTTTTTTTTGGTGCATTCGTACCGTTTCATTTTAACTGGGGAAGGACCGGATGGATGAATACCACCGTTAATACAGCCACCACGGGAAATAAGATTCTGTAAAGTCCCCCCCGAAAGAGTGATTTATTTTATTTTCTTTTAATTCCCCCGCTGGAGGCCGCCTCTGTTTTTCTCAACAGGAGACTTTGTTGTAATTAAAGCAGGGAGAACTGGACAGCAGCAAAGCCCTCTGCCTGGTGGCTCTCAGCAGCGCCGTTTTGCAGCGTGCACCACCCCCCAGCGGGCAAAAAACTCCGTAGTAAACTCGCAGCCAAGCTTTCATCTTTGGAAATGAAATGTGCACGTTTCAGGGCGAGAATCAAATAAAGGTGCATTTGTGGGGCTTTGCTTTTTCGTTTTCCCTTTGTAAGAGGTAGCTCGAAGTGCAGAGGTAGCGCGAAAGGCACCGGTGAGCCGTCCGAGGCATTGCTGGAGTTTGCAAACTTTGCGCTGCTATTTTTCCGAGTGCCTTCAGTGGGTGGATGGCCATCTTTGTCTCCTTCCAGCAGGAAGCCTGCCTGCTAATGGCCGGGGAGCTCTCGAGGTTTGCTTTAATCACCTCGAGGCACGAGGCGGCTCAGGAGAATTAATAGGCGATTGCTTACGTGTATTTTTAATAAGAGGCCCCGGCTCGCTCGGTGCAGGCAGGCCGAGCACACGGTGCTCTGCACGGAGCTCACTGCGTGCACTGAAGGCAGCCTGACAGCCCCACAGCTTGTCAAGTTTTCTGATCAGAGCAGTAAATTCAGTCATCGGTAGGCAAGCAGACAAAAGAGGAAAGAAACCAATCTCTACGGCAGCTGTATGCGGTATTTCAGTAATGGTTTGGATATGCTTAATGTTTTGCGCCAGGGACTCCGTGCAGGGTATAATTCCACCTAAATTTGTCAAGAGGGAAAACCAGTGATTTCCCCGTGGAAGCAGAGCAGCGTTTGTTGTCTGTTCTCTCATTCCAAGCGCAGGCAAATGCCTCACCCCCACAGCAGCTCCCAGAGAGAGCCCAGGAGCCATCCCTGGCCCAGCTGGGCGAGCACTGCGATGCAGAGCACTGTGCTCCCCCTCCCTGGCCATAGGAGCAGGCAGGCCCTGCAGGGCACAGCACTGCACAGCACTGCGCAGCAGCACGGTGCTCGGGGGCTCTTCGAGCCAACGTCCTCAAAGCCAGGAAGGGTTTTAAAAGTGAACTTCAGAAAGCAACCACTGAACCGCTCGTAGTTGATCTCCCTCCTCTGCAGCAGATGCTGCCCTGGCTCACCTTTGGCACGAAGTTCAGCTTCCACTCGGAACCCATTTCAGAGTCAGATTGAATCCCATTAGAGGGAAGAACGCATTAAATTTTTCATTTTTAAGACATGTGAGAACTAGAAGGACAAAGGCAATATTATGTTCAACTACCACACAAGATGGAGGGGGAGGGATAAGCAAAAAAATAAATAAAACCTTATCGAACAAGAGGAAAGAAATAAAGCATGTTTCACCAAAACACAGAGACCTGGGGAGTTAGCTCTCACTTTAATGAAAACCTCTGCATTCTTTAGCACTGGAAAAGACAGGCAGAGGACCTTGTGCTTGCCTCACACTGAACAAAGGAGTGGGGCACCTTCCTGAAATATGATGATCGTGGAAATTTCAGCTCCTAGACAGGGTGCTTAGAAAGCATTTTGCTGTCACTATCAACTAAGTCTGAGTAATACACTTAAAAAAAATCAAAGCATGTGCATTGTTTTAAGGACAGATTAGCACCGTGGAAGTTGTGTTGAAAACTTGGTGAAACTGTTTGAGAAGAGCTGTGACCTCTGAGAACTAACCTGGCAGCATGTGCAGCGGATGGGTCCAGCAGTATTTCAAGTGCATTTGATGTTTCTGATAAGAACAAATACGGAGGTAATTCTGCAGTCTTAGTACAGAGGTTAAGCTAAATCATTAGGCTTATCAATATGCATATCCTAATAACTTAAAGTTACTCTTGTCCCTTACAACCTAGAAATACAGGGTGAAAGTTGTCCCTTTGCCCTGTTGTGTCAGGGTTAGCAGCCAGCTCCTGGTTATCCCAGTGGCAGGTGGGGATTAAAGTAAGCACTGTGGGACCTGAAGTGCCAGGTCTGGGTGTTAGTCAGGTTTTATCACATCTTAGAAAGAAGAAATCTCTTTGGCACCGTTTTTAGAAAAACTTACAGCTTTTCTAACTTTTTTTATTGCTTTTTCTTTTTTCCTTAAGGGAGAGCAGCTGTATACCACGTGTTACAATAAATACTCTGTGCTTTGGTATTTTCTCTTACGCAGTGCAAATTGCTTTTACCATTTCAAAATGAGCTGTAGCCTGGCGATAAGTCCAGGTGCAGGTCCGGGCATCCCCGCTATCTGTAACACGGCTGCCTACACAATGTCCCAGGAAAAGTAATTTAACCACGCAGTTCAGCAAAGTTCGTGAAAATATTCAGCTCCCAATGAAGATAAGCATAAAAGCTGCCGTTCGGCTGTTCCCTCCTTACTTTTGTTACCAAAAAGTCATTTAAAAATGAATTTCAGAATCCGCTCTCTCAAATCCATCTTTTTTTCCTGCTCTGCTCGAAATTAATGGCTTCTTTCAGAGCCATGTGTCCATGAAGCCTCCCATGCTGGTGCTGCGGGGACCTGCACACCCAGCGAGTCCCCTCTGCTTTCATCCCAGGCAGGGATGGGAGGAGGAGGGCTGGAGCAGGGCAGCAGGATTCCCTTCTCTGCAGACAGATCGCTGGAGCCTTTGATATGCAAAAACATTGTTTTCAGCTGTGGCTCCAGATATAAAAGGGAAGTGCAAGATATCAAACAATCAGAACCTGGAGAAAACTATTCTGCCCTCAGAAAAGGGAGTGGGGGGTATGGGCTTAATCCACATTTTTGAAACAGTATCATCTTCTCCAAAGAGACCTGCTTTTATTTTTCTCCCTTGTTTTTATGTAATTTTGAGAGAAGGGATAAAAAAAATTCCAAGAACTTAATGAGCTTTAGTGCTTTCATTTTAATCCTACACATTACCGCTATTATAATGGCAGCAATAAGCAAAGGGCTGACAATCAGATGGGGCAAAGAGGAAGCTGTTTATATGCTAGAAAGGTAAAGCCAATGCACTTAACATTCTCGTGTCTGTATGCACAGCAGAGATAGTTTTGATCAATAGCAACGTGCCTTTTTATTTTTCTTTTTTTTACAGCCTACTTAACAGCTCTAAAAGTTCTGAGGAACAATTTATGAGATTATTTTTTTTTCAGCTTTGTAAAAGTGACTCAAAGCCTTCAAAGGCCTACTTAAACAACAAATTTATACTCTTACTTCACCACACAACTCCCAGAAAATGTCCTCTGTCACAACTTCACATTAGTTCCTATGACACGTTATTTTTATACAGCTCTTAAGCAACTGTTTTATTTCCAAGTTTTAGGAATAGATCCTAGACTTAGGTTTCCACAAACACTTGAGTGATACAGACCAAGGAAATTGGATGCTGCTTAATCTCAAAGAATGTGGAGCTTTTTTTGTTCCATTTTCTAATGCTGACTGCATATATTAACCAATTTCTAAAAAAACATGCATTCCTTTATAGTCCAGAACAGAACCTTAGTTTTACTAAAAAATAAAGTTAAAAATTAAGCATCCTTAGATGCTTAATTCTGCCAATCCTACAGAACATCTCTCATTTCAATTTACAATTTTCATTACACAGCTGCTGACACAAGGTGAAAAACAAACAGAAAACCAACCCTCAGATAAGCATTAAAGCAGCTTCAGGGGAGCAGAGGCTTTACTGTTCCCTCACAGAACACTCACACCATCACAAGAGTGGGTTTGGTTTTGATTTTTTTTTTCTCAAATGCTCATCTTTATGCTGTTGAAGAGGAAAAACATAATTTTATCTATGTAAATAATTGTTGTATCAGTGCAAATCTGCTGTTGCTACAGGAGTAGAGCCTACTGCATGAAGACTTCGTGATGCCTGCTTCCAATTACAAAAGAGTCTTAAAGCAGAGACTGCTTTTGTTCAGCTCTGTTATTTTATGATGGCCCAGAAGCAGCTCCAACTATCCCCACATGAAGGGAGTTAAACAAGGCCTATTCAGCCCACTGTTTCTTCAGGGCTTTTCAGTGCTGAGGACCACGCTCTGTACCGAGGATTTGATTTCAGACTTAACCACTGATATTTCAGACAGATACTGCCTGCATGCTCTCAGGGAACAGAGACTCGGTATCTCACTGGATACTTTCTGCCCTTAAAAACAGCCAAATGGTTCCTCAAGTAATAAGAAAAATTTTTGAAGTGAGAAAAATCAAATTAATAAAATGTCAATCTAAATAGTGATTCCACTGAGCAAAATGACAAATACAATAGCTCACAAGTTCAGACAGCTTGGCATACCGAGCACATTTTATGGAAAAAACCCACATGCCTCCATTTTCAAAAAGCTGATACAGACGACTACTAGCTACCCACAATGCAGAAACAGCAGGATGCACATGTGAAGCATTAATTCTCTATTTTGGTGAAAACTTTTCCTCTTTCATCCAAGAAGTACTGAATGGTAATTAACTCATTTTAAATTTAATACCAAAGAGAGGTTCATGATCTACTTCTGTTTGCCTGAAACAAAAAGCAAGCAACCTCGTTAACTCCTCCCATGGCAGGACTGCCGTTTGTCCTCAAGCAGGAAAACATCATTTGCAAAGACTTTGGTACTGTCTGTTAATGCACAATGACTTCATTTGCTGCTGGAAGGAGGGAAAAGATTTGTTCCAGCAAAATGGCAACCATGTGAGACTAAACGGCAAAAGCTGTTTATAAACATCCCTGCATTTTGTTGAAATACTGATATATTGGGATAAAATGATGTGCTGATTTTGCACAGTAAGCACAGCATGATTTACATGGGATTGGAATACAACAGAATACTAGTGTCCAGCAGTTGTTATTAATTACAATTTCTTCTGTTTGTTTTTACTTTTACAGGAAATTAAGAGTTCACGGAAAGCTTTAAAGGAGTTTTCTGGAAAGGAAATAACACTTTGGTGTCTTTTTATGAAGACGACCACCTGAATTGTGTAACATTCCTACAGCTGGGGGACCTGCCTTCAGCGTGCAGCGCAGGAGGAATTCTTTCCTGCATTACAAATTGGGAAGAAGTGTTAAGAGTGAGCGCTGGGAAATGGTCCTCTCTGAGAGGTGTGGATGTATCAGGATGTAGCTGCTGTACAAAGTTTATCCTTGGATAACTCTGGACAGAGATAAACCTCCATTGCTGACCTCCTGAAGAGGCGATCCTTGTTCAGGCCCCAGCATAATGAATAGTTTCCATCACGCTGCGCTGAAGCTCCAGCCTCCCAACTACTGCATCCCACAAAAGAGCTTGTACAAGCTACAAAGAAAGTAATTCTTGTTAAAGGCATTAAACCAAACAAAAGAGGCTCTCCATTCACAGACTTTACATGAGAACAGAAATAGAAGGAAGCTGAAGCTTTTTTGCTCCTCTGCCGGTGTGCTGAGGTACCATGGTAAATCATAGTTGGGTTGCCCCTGGAGCATAGTGCCTGGAAGCGAGCACCACCAGGAGGGGGCGGCCGAGGGAGAAGTCGTCCATGGAGTGAAGTATAAGAGCAAGAGAGGAATTGGTTTGCTGGATATCCTCAAGCACAAAATTTACTCTTACCTTTAAATACGGTAGGATCAATATGAATCTATTTTCCTTTTCATGCCTTGGAGAATAAAGTTCAGTTAATATATGAACCCACAGGAGAAAGGGTCATGACACTGCTTAATGCATAGGGCATCTTACAGAAGTTTTCACCACCCTAATTATAGTGGTAATTGAATTATGTTGTCCTAAAAGCTATAAAAATGCTAATTACCTGAGCTCAGTGTACAGACATGCTACCAGTGCAAAGTACAATTTCAGTCTCAAGAGTTAATTTATATTATCCCACCCTGCACAGTATGAACTAATAAGATGTGAAAATGTGGTTAAACCTGCCAGATAGTCTCTTATTAGTGTACTGCTTAGCAAGAAGACTTTTGAGAATGACAAATATTTAAACATGAAATTAAGCATGTAATGAAATATTCCATCCAGCCAACTAGAAAGCCACAGCTCAGACAGCTCTGTTGGCTTGTAAGCTGCACACCAATTGTTACATTCACCTTTCTAAACATTCCAGGTTGAAAAACAAGAGGAGTAAGCTGCAGTATTTGTAAAACACACCATGTGGCGTTAAGTTCCCAGAAAAACCCCAAAAAAGTCTTGAGCTGGGCTTTGTTCTCATCTGCATTTTGTACCCTGCCACTAGGACTTTCTTGAACCTCCAGAATAGCTACCACTGAACTTCTGGGTTTGGTAAGGGTTTTATAGTTCACTTAAGGGCTTCTAGGTAGTTAGCTGGCTTAGGAATTACTTCTTATCTTTCAGATATAGAATGATTTACTTGAACTCTGGTTTGACTTCAGCTGTGTACTTATCTGGTATCTGCGAACAAAGATTGCCTCTATATGTGAAATGGGGAGGAATCTTCAGAAGGAGCCTTCTTGGTTAAACTAAACCGCTCACAGATCAGACATGCCTGATTATATTATTTTAAATTACTATTCAGGATAGTCTACTAACTTAATTGAATTAGTAAAAGCAGAAAATTTGTTATTGATGTATGTAGAAAAAGTGGAATGTCTACAAACTTCAATTTTTGTTTAATATGTGTATGTCAGATGTCTTCTGATGCTGAAGTCAAATTTTCATTGCATTTCTTCGCTGATGATCTGGATAATTTTGTTTGTTTGTTTGTTTTTAGATTTTGAAGATCAGAATTCATCATCTCATCATTCCTGACCATGATTACTGTACCCTGGAGCGTCTTCCTAATTTGGACTAAAATAGGGCTGTTACTTGACATGGCACCTTATTCTGTCACTGCCAAAGCGTGCCCATCAGTATGTCGCTGTGATGTGGGTTTCATATATTGTAATGATCGCGATTTGACATCTATTCCTACAGGAATCCCAGAGGATGCTACTAACCTCTTCCTTCAGAACAATCAAATAAATAATGCTGGGATTCCATCGGAACTGAAGAACTTGCGTAGGGTGGAAAGAATATTTTTATACCACAACAGCCTAGACGAATTCCCCACTAACCTCCCTAAGTACGTCAAAGAACTGCATTTGCAGGAGAATAATATAAGGACCATCACTTATGATTCACTTTCACAAATTCCTTATCTGGAAGAACTGCATTTGGATGATAATTCTGTTTCCGCTGTTAGCATTGAAGATGGAGCTTTCAGGGACAACATCTATCTCAGACTTCTTTTTCTCTCTCGAAATCACCTTAGCACCATTCCCTGGGGTTTGCCTAAAACAATAGAAGAGCTACGCTTGGATGATAATCGTATTTCCACAATTTCAGAGCTGTCCCTTCAAGACCTTACAAATCTAAAACGCCTTGTTCTAGATGGAAATCTTCTAAATAACCATGGATTAGGAGACAAGGTCTTCATGAATCTAGTCAATCTTACAGAACTGTCATTGGTTCGCAATTCACTTACAGCTGCACCAGTAAATTTGCCAGGAACAAACCTAAGGAAGCTTTATCTTCAAGAAAACCATATCAATCACGTGCCACCCAACGCTTTCTCTTATTTAAGGCAGTTGTATCGACTAGATATGTCCAATAACAATCTCAGCAATTTACCTCAGGGTGTCTTTGATGACCTGGACAACATAACTCAGCTGTTTCTTCGCAACAACCCTTGGCACTGTGGGTGCAAAATGAAGTGGGTCCGTGACTGGTTGCAGTCATTGCCTTTGAAAGTGAACGTACGCGGGCTGATGTGCCAAGCACCAGAAAAAGTGCGCGGAATGGCTATCAAAGACCTCAATGCGGAACTGTTCGATTGTAAGGATGACATGAGCACCATCCAGATCACTACTGCAGTACCCAACACGCTGTACCCAGCCCAGGGACACTGGCCGATTTCTGTGACCAAACAACCAGACATCAAGACCCCCAACCTAAACAAGAACTACAGAACAACGGCCAGCCCGGTACGCAAGATCATTACAATATTTGTGAAATCAGTGAGCACAGAGACCATCCACATCTCCTGGAAAGTTGCGCTGCCAATGACAGCCTTACGGCTCAGCTGGCTCAAGATGGGCCACAGCCCTGCCTTTGGATCTATAACTGAAACCATCGTGACAGGGGACAGGAGTGACTATCTGCTTACAGCACTCGAACCAGAGTCGCCGTACCGTGTGTGCATGGTCCCCATGGAAACCAGCAACATCTATCTCTCTGACGAGACACCTGAATGCATTGAGACCGAGACAGCTCCCCTCAAGATGTACAACCCGACAACCACACTCAACCGGGAGCAGGAAAAGGAGCCCTACAAGAACTCCAGCGTGCCTCTGGCCGCCATCATTGGTGGCGCGGTGGCACTGGTGGCCCTGGCATTGCTGGCCCTGGTGTGCTGGTACGTCCACAGGAATGGGGCCCTCTTCTCCCGGCACTGCGCCTACAGCAAGGGGCGCAGGAGGAAGGATGACTATGCTGAGGCAGGCACTAAGAAGGACAACTCCATCCTAGAAATCAGGGAGACTTCTTTTCAGATGATACCCATCACCAATGACCAGGTGACCAAGGAGGAGTTTGTAATACACACCATTTTCCCCCCTAACGGCATGAATCTGTATAAGAACAGCCACAGTGAAAGCAGTAGTAACAGGAGCTACAGAGACAGTGGTATTCCAGATTCAGATCATTCACACTCATGATACTGAAGGACATGAAAGACTGGTTTGGTTTTGGTTGGTTTGTTGTTTGTTTTTTTTTTTTTTAAAAAAGAGAAAAGACTGACTTTTAACGGTTGCTGTTCTACTGCAAAACACTGGATTAAAGACTGACAAAGCAATGTACTGTACATTTGCCATATAATTTATATTTAAGAACTTTTTATTAAAAGTTTCAAATTTCAGGCTACTGCTGCGATTAATGTAGTGGGGATACCTGACCACAATTCTATATTTTAGTATTTTTTAGTAATTTGTACTGTATTTTCCTTGCTAATATTGAAGTTACAGACCATTTAACTTTTGTGTTCTACTGAGTAAGATGACTTGTTGACTGTGAAAGTGAATTTTCTTGCCGTGTTGAGCAGTCAGAACATTCATCTGAGATCCTTGTAAGTGTAAGCACAGGCCATTTTTCACTTTGATATTAATAAAATAATGTTAAACCTGGCAAATCAGGAAGATCAAGAAGTGGTTGCAAAAACTCACAGAACTTAAATGTTGGGTCTGTTAAATCTGTAAACCACGACAATATTCAATAAACAAAAATGCGTGTAGTAATGGGCAATATCAGCTGTCTGGATACATCCATCCAACAATGGTGAAATCCAATCTAAAAAGAAAATAATCAAATCGATTACATGCATGAGACTGAAACTGTTGACATGTGTAAAGAAAAAACTGACCCTTGGAAGAAAGCGTAACAAAATTCCTAACAAGGAATTCTAAAGAAATGCGCTAGGCTCCAGTAACCAAGGGGTAGATAGGGTGTAATGGTAGATTTCTGGTTATCAACACCAGTGGTCTGTTAGAGAGAAAATGGTGATGGATGGCCACAGACATTTGGAAGGCAGTGGCAGGGGGACAGGGAGAACACTGAGCAACTGTTCTTCAGCAGAAGGGCTGGAAGTACAGTTTCATGAGGAGAGCAAACAGGACGAAAAGCAGGCAAGCAGCGTCTCATAAATTTTAGTCACCCAGGTCAAAAGAAAATTGGGGAATGCAGATATTTTAAAGCATATACTAAAACATTCTGTAGGTATGCGTTAACTGTACTGCCATTACAGTCAGGAATACTGCCCATTACTGTCACAGTTTTCCAGAAATTCCTTGCTAAATCTGTAAAGTAACGTTTCTTTCTGCCTTCCTGCTGAACTATATGCTATTTCATGTTTAAACCCCAAGCCACACTTTGTTGCCATAATCATTTGTCTTTTCAACTAAAAACCAAAGTGCATTGTACGCCCTTTGGCCAGTCTTGTATGTGCCTTGATCCAACGCTACATGTATCAAGTTTTTTAAAACAAAACAAAAAACCCTAAAAAAAAAAATAAAATACCCACTTTTTCGTACATAACTTAAATATGACAAACATTGGTCTCATTGATGAATAAAGTTGAAAAATCAGTAGAGTAACGCCACATATCTGAGGTGCACTGACAGGAAAGCCACTCAGAAGCTACTATTTTTCAGGTCCTAAGTTCCATCTTTTACTTTGTTCAATATGGTATCACACTTCTGGGTTTCTGTACTGTTAATTACTTCAGTAGCGAGTTTTAACAACTTCCAATTGTATCAGCAATGAAGGGAAATTACAGTTACACCTCTCTCAGATCTTTTTCAGCAAAACCACCAATTAAAAGGTAGAGGGACATACAAATGCTTAATATTTTGGACATTATTTTGGACAGGAAAGAATGTATACCAAATGCAGTTCAATTTTAAGAGTATTTTAGCCTCTCTGTTTCTCCAGGAGTAGTAAGGGGTGGAAGATGACAGGATGAACTACAGGAGATGCCAATAGTGATGGTTTCAGCAGTCACTCAACAAATGACTCCTGCCAGAGGTCCATCTGCCTGCACAGACACCAAGTTGCCAGTAACAGACAGCTCATTTCAGCTTCATTTACCAGATGTGGCCAGAGAAGTTCCTCTCCAAACACTCCATGCCACAGTTTCCAGTTTTTGGGAAGTGGAGGAGCAGCTCTGCACTTCACCGCTCACCTCTCGCAGTCCCACCTGTGGATCCACAATGCCAATGTACTGGGGACACATGATGCTGAACAGCCCTGTGCTGCTCTGGGAGACGTACTCAGCAGGACTATTCTGCTCTATTTTCTCAACAGGTACAAATCTGAAGGGTGAGAAAGCCAAAACTAGGCATGTGGAGACGCATTTCATTCTGGAAGACCAATCCAGATAGAGAAGACTGACCTGCTTTTCTTCATGCAAACTAGCATACTGGGACCCTATCTGAAATACACTTAATGGCTGGCTCGCTGGCAACAGATTACTAGTTCTTTGCCATCAGCACTCCAATAGCAAAATCAAAAAGGTTTTGCTGCATTTTAAGCTGTTGATATGAAAACCTCTCTTGTAGCTGACTCAAAACTTGTACTGTGGAAAGGATAAAAGAAAACCCCATGAATACTTTTCCTGTGCCTCTCCTGGGGTTAGCCAGAGGCAGCTTAATAGCACTGCACACCATCTACCTGCATTTCTGAGGTGATTCCACACAGGCATCCTGTGGACTAGCAGAAGTCATCATTTGAAGAGATAGTTGCAATCTTAATTGCAAGGACTTCTCTTATAAAACATATGTTATATGAGACAGTAATATGCAAATCCAAAGCAACTTCAACAAGCTGGCCCAGTTGTTCCAGGTTTACCTCCTCCAGAAAGCAGATGAGAACCTGGAGCAATGATGCCAGGCTCTGTGGAAAAGCAGACCAGGTTTGCAGGCAGAGCTGGTGTCTTCCTACAGCAGCTGCTGTCAATGGAAAAAACACGGCACATCTACGCATACAAGATCTTCAAGTTCTATGCCAACTTTAAGAAAACACGCATAATATGAAGCTCTGGTAATTTGGCAAGTGAAAGATTAATTTCAAACTAAAGTCTGTATTTTTTTTCTTCTGATATTTACAAAAATTTCTGCTGCTTGTCATGACCATCTCTCAAGACTCTTCTACTTAACCTAACTCCAGTTACAGCATGCAGTACACTCTAGCACCAGTACATACATCCATTCATCCATTCTATTAGACAGCTATATATTCAGACAAATCAGATTACTTCATTCAGCAGTATACTCATTTATCAAAATAAAATTAATCCACATTAAATTTATCTCAACTATTAAAATCCACGTTATTTCAGCGTGCTGTTAAATATTTAATTTCAGAGCAAGGAGTGAAATGTTTTTCAACACAGCCTAAACCCCTGTTCAGAGTTAACTTAATCAGCATCTTCTATGTTAGTTTATGCCCAGTATCTTTCACATCCCTTATTACTGCTCCCTTTCTTGATTTATATTACTCACAGTTCTGTTTATTCTGAATGCTGACACCAAAAAAAGAAAACAAAAAAAAAAAAAACAGGTACTTTGGAAGCCATATTAATTTTATCTCATTTCAGTAAGTTCCATAACTACATTTGCTTCATTTTTAAGCTATTACTTCCTAACTCTGTACAACAGCCTGAAACGCAACAACTGTTGGGGTCTGGGGTTGTGTTTTTGTTTTTCCTGGCTTTAACAGTAGCACAATCAAAGCATTATGGCTTTGGAACACCGTTACCAATTCTGCTAATGCTTTAGCTAGCTTGCAAGCTATGTTGTGCCAATGCTGTACATACTGTGTAGAGCAGCAAATGCAATAAAGCAAGAATGAAAGTAATAAAAAGCCTTATTTACTATTCAAATAACTCACTGATGATGTAACGCAATGAGCACGTATACAGACTTCTGTCTTAAATAAGAGGGTATCGTTTTGTGTGTTCGTCCGCAACTACAGTTGGACGCGATCTTCGATCATGGACTGGCAAATGCCACCTACTTCTGTTTCTCCAAACCAGATTACTTTTGGTTTTGGATGGAGCCATCACTCGCTTGGATGTCCTCCGCTTTCAAAACAGCTTAACCTTACTTTCAAATCCACAGAGGCACGTTCACCACAGAGTGCTTCAGGATCACCTTGGGAATGAGCTTGGTTTAATTAACTGTTTCCTAAGCGTCACCACAACAACAAGCTTCAAGCCACAAGCCAGTGCTTACCACAACTGCAATTTTTACAGAGCGTCTACTGACTCCATATCCGGGGAGTTTCTTCCATCCAGAAGCGGTTCATCAGAAAGAAAGATGATTGACTGAAACCAGACAGGAAAATTTTATCCTTTGAAGTCTATTTTGTCTTTGCAAATGAATTTAATTTGAGGGATGCTGAAGGAGCTTTCCTCTAGCAATCAAATTAGAGCTGTTTCAAACCCTCTGAAGATATAACTGTGTATCAGTCTGGGCACATAATCTTTTTTTTGGTGAACATGCACACTGGCTTTATTCTCAATAGTAAATCACCAGATTGTTTCCTGATCCTTGTAAAAATGTAGACAAAAACAAGATGTATCTCAGTAAAACAGCTGCACAGCACCTAGTTCAAAGCAACCTTTACCAGCATCCATCAGGATGCTCATTTTCCTGCAGCTATAATGATTGTTGAGGAACATTCATACCCACTGTGGCAACCAAAGCACTTGAATGAATGTTAAGCCAAATAACTGACCTCTAGCAGCTCCTGGGATTGTCAGGGGTCCAAGGTGCAAGCAGCCAGCAACTCCATTCCCCTTCCAAGAAGGGGATGGCAGCGGCCAGCAGCTGACCATCAGCGCAGTGCTGCAGCATCCTACCACTCCACACACATCTCTAAGCAAAGGTTTGTCAGAAGCTACCTCAAAGAACAGGATTTCAGGACCAGTGTGTATCAGCAGACTTCCATCACTTGTTGCTGCCTCTGCTTTTGCTTAGGATGAAAACACAATGGAGTCATGGTATAAAACCTCCCAAGACTGCTAACACCACCAAGAACTGAAAACACTTTTTGAAACCTGAATCCAGACCTTTCAGCTTAGCAAGAGCACTCATAAATAAGTTATAAAAATAGAAGTGTCTTAATAGGGCTAATTAAATAATCTGACTTGTTGAAGTGGGCTGATAGCATCCATAGAGGCTGATGCTCTGTCCTGAGCAGCCCTCTTAAGTCCCCAAACCAAGAAGCAGGTCAGAGTCCAGTGCTCACCCCTGCGGGACTTAAACAGAGCTTATCTATAGCCACAGCTATGGAGGGTCTGCTGTTCAAACCAAGGGGCTGCTCTTGGTCTTACATCAGTTAAGTACAGGAGCATCGTTGACAGGATTAAATTATGCATGTATTATGCATAACTGAACCTTTTCATTTAAACTAAGTATTATCAAAGATCTGTAACATCAGAAATACATGCCCTATTCATGTAATACCCTTTCCTCTCTTGGGCTTTGTCTCTGCTAAATGCCCACCTGGCAACTGGACTTCCATGTGAAAGCAGGTGTTTGCTGGGGAGTGGCGATTCCTTCTGTTTAGGAGTGTTTTTATTGTTTTGTTTTGGTTGACTTGATTTTCTTAACTGGCATAAATAATTTCACTCTCAGTCTTTCAGTTTAATTGGACATCAAAGTGAACTGTCTGAGAATTTCAATACTTATAACACATTAATGCATGTATACTTGGGGAGGTGAGCAAAGGTAAAATAGCACCCCACAAACTTTCCCAGCTCTTATAACAATGCTTTTCAGGCTTTAACCTGTTGTTTTTCCACAGATTCAATAAGAAAGCAATCAAATAACATTTCAAAAATTGAAACCTTCTACCCAGGAATGCAGCTGCTGGGACAAGGAAGAGGATTTAGGAAGCCACTTTGTAACTCTTACTCCACCAGTACATGCAGCACCTTCTGCTCTTCATCTCTTTTAGATAGCCTGTACCACACGCTCATCCCTCATGTTAATTAACAACAGAAGTTATTTGCACTGGACTCCTCCAGTACGAAACCAACTCCAAACAGCTTATTTTGTTTCCTGAAGTTTGAACAGCACACAGCAGTGCGGACACCTGCAGAATCTCCATTCGGTTGCGGTTTGTTTACCTGGTTTCAATGATCTTCACAAATAAGCACTGAGGACGTTTATTTCTGAAACCTGACGGGTACTTGACTGCCCATAGGGAACAGGAGCTCATTAACAGAGAGAAAGCCAAATCCTGGGTAAGTGCTAACCCTGTGAGTAAACACAATTTTAGGGCATTAGCTGATCACGCTGAGCCTCTGTGCCTAATGTCTGAAAAGCATTAATTTTACTGTCGCAGCACCTTAATGGACGTTACCAATCCTGTCCACTAATAACCTTTTCATTTCCCCCCGACGTGCTAACAGCATACAGCAGTAACAACCTACAGCCCAGGATGCAAAGAATCCGTATTGCCTGGTCCTGCTCAGCTCCCCAAGCTATCTACTGAGTGGGGTTTGGCTACAAGGGAGTTCATGCTGGTATCTCAATGGGTCGGCACCTCCAAGGCAGTAACAGCATGTAAGATTTTCTTCCTTTATCTTTCTCTTTTTTAACCCTTTCTTTTTAAATCAGGCTCATTAAGAGAATTTGCTCAGTAAACACAACCAATTTGCATATAAAAACCTCTTCACTGCTAATTGCACTTGTTCATATACAGTGGAACAGGTGAAAATCTCCTTGAAGAGTTTGCTGTTCAATCCAAGGAAGGCACATCCCAACATATTAACCCTGGAAATCACCAGCTGTTACCCAAGCTTACAAATACATGATGCTGAGAAAAAATAATTATAATAAAAATCAGATATTCCTAAGAAGCCACTCACAACCCTGCCTCTAAGAATTCTTAGGCAGAGGTTTAAGATCAGAAAGTAGTATTTCTACTTCTCAGAACTGAATGATGCTGAAAATTCAAACAGCCACATGGTTGCTGAAGGCGTATCCACACAGTAAGCCCTCAGAGGACCCAGCAGGTGCTGAGGCTGAGCTGCTCCCCACATCCCTCAGCACAGACCAAGGCACTGAGAGGAGCCCACTGCATCCTCCAACAAAATTACCAACAGCGACTCTCCCAAACCATGAGATCTATCACTTCCTTATGCTTTAAATAATCCCCCCAAAACAAGTGGCACAGCCTTCAAGTATGGATGTTGGGAAGTAATGCCCAACTTCAGCTGCACACCTTTAGTCTATTTGAATTCATACCCAATCCTAGCTATCACACACACGTTTTCTTGAAGGCCTTTTCTTCTTCCGGGCCTCCTGATAGATTCTAATACCCATTGTACATAGAAGTAAAAAACTGTCAGAACAACACAGTTTGTCAACATCTCCCTGTGTATCAACCAACTGCCTTTTTTAAAAAAAAAGCACTTGTATCTTTTCAGTCATTAAGTATTAAAACAAAAAAAAAATGGTTTGCCAATTTAGCTTTTAGGATGCTACTGAGAGGAGGAAAGGGAAAGGAAAGAGATCCATTAAACTAAGACTCTAATCAGGGGAAAAATCATGCTACAATAAATCGCAGGTAGGTAACTTGATTTACTGATGGAAAAAAAAGAAAAAGGAAAAAGAAAAAAAGAACCCTCATGAATCCAGCTATATTGACAAAAGGCCCCATGTAAGAATACCTCTAACTCCCCAGAGTACCTGCAGCTGCTGGAAGGGAGCTGGTTTGAGGGCCATGTTCTGCATCCTACCAAGAAACACTCCACTGCTTTGGGAAGCACAGGTTTGCTTAACACACAATGCAGCATGGAGCTGCTGGCCCTGCAAGGTGAGAAACCCACCTCGTTGTTCCACAGAGTCCCCAAAAACCCACGCTCCACAAAATCCTCCAAAAGAATCTATCAAAGTGACTTCAATCCCATGATCCGGTACAAAATCAAAGGATGCAAGCTGCTCTAATCCCAGGCTTTTCAGTTGCTGAGGGCTCAGGAGCAGCCAACACTGTCTTCACTGAATGGGAGCTGCCCCAGCCTGCACATTTTTGACAGGGAATTGGTTATTTGTTTTGTTTTGTTGTTCTCCTTCATGCTGCTCTCTGTCACATTAAATACTGCTGGGTTTTAAATTAAATAAAAACAACACAAAACATTTACCTATTGTTGCTTCTCCTCATGCTACTGAAGACTAACTTTATCCTTTTATATAATATTCCCAAACCAATTTAAACACATTAGAAAGGCTACAAGTGAAGCATCCATCCAAAAAAGCCTGGTCTGGATAACACATCTGCAGCAACTAGCTGATGCAACCATTTCAGTGGGAAATAAGAGGTGATGAACAAAACGTTTGCTGTCAGCATGGAAACACAGGAGCAGCCAGTGCCTTGGTACACTCAGGTCCCTTGGCACAAGGGGCAGGGCATGAGCTCTCCCCAGGCTGCTCAAGGTGCCTTGCACAGCCACTATGGCACACAAAGATGCTCCATGCCTCCTCCCAGTAGCAGCTTCCTTGCTCACACCGTGGCCAGGCTGCTTCCTGAGCTCCATCGCTGCCTCTCGCTCCCTCGTCTGCATTCCTGAAGGGATGAGAATGGCCATGCCAGGCACTGCTGGGAACTGGAGACCTGCCACAGCATTTGTTGGCACTCCTGGCAGCCTGCTAACTTGCCTGTAGGGATGGGGAAGCATGTCCCCACCAGGAGTGCTGCCACCTCCGCGAGCCTTGGCCAGTGCACAGCCACACCTCCTGTTTCCTTGAAAAAAATGCAATAACAGGGACAAGAACTGCAAAGGTGCAAATTAGTGTGGGCCTCCTAAACCTCAAAGCAAGCAGAAGGAGCATAAAAGAATACAAAGTCTGCCCAAGAGTCATGTTACATTTATCCTCCAGCATCAAATGAGGGATTACTGAAATTTACTGCAGCTCTCTCCCAAAAAGCTGTGTTATGAGGACCACGGTCCAAACAGCAATGACAACAGGCAGACAAGGAGTGCTCCTCTGCTCCTCCAAGGACCTTCAAACACTGCTGAGACAGAAGGCCAACTTATTTTTCTTTATTTCTATCTATTCGCAGAAAAATTAAGAGGAGCAACAGGATTATCTGGGGGCATTATGTATCCAAATGATGCGGTATGAGCAAACAGTCCACCTTCACAGTGCAAGCATTGCCCACTCAGCTTGCAGGACATGTGCAGCAGCAAGAAGCACGGTGTCAGTCCCCTCCTCCTCTCCTCTGGGCTGACCCAGATTTGCCTATTTCAATAATTTCTCCAAGAATTGCTCATTACTTAATACCTGGGATATGTGATCATGTGCTGAGTGCGCAGGTTGCCTGAAAACTGCAGAGTGCTGGGGGTTTTGCTGTTGAACTGACAGTTTTGCAGGTGTAATCATTGCACTAGCTTAGAAAAAAACACTCTGTATAACAAAAGGTAACGATGGCAATTGCAGGTATGTCACATGTTAGAATAAAACTAGCAGGAAATAAAAAAGAGGAAAACAAAAAAATCCTTCCTGCTCACTGTAGAGACCAACTTCCGTAGCTCAACTTGAGTGAGAAACTCCAGAAGCTCTTGAAGATTGCTCCAGGCTCAGAAAATGAAAAAGGTTTTAAGGCTTTTTCACAATATTGTTTCTTCACTGATTATTTTTAAAAGTCCTGGCAACCTTAGAACTTGCAATCTCATAACCTTACAACTCGTCAGTAATTCTTAGCTGAACTACAGCAGCAACAAAAGGAATCACGGCAGTATTCCACACGTAAGATGTACTAAAGGCATGAAAACAGCTATAAAATAGTGAAAGGCAAGGAGGAGCAGACCAGTCTGTTTCACTCTGCAAAGCGTGCAATACTTTTCCATTTAACAATGCTCTCCAAAGCATGTTATGCACAGCCATAGCACAAATGGGAAAAATTATCAAGACTCAATCTTCTACTTCTGCATTTTCCTTGAAAGAGAAAAGTTTATCGATGGTTTATATTTGTCTTCACATTAAATATGGTGGAAGGTTGGACTGGATGATCTTAGAGATCTTCTATATATCATCAAACGTTTTCCTTTAAAATAAAGATACAAGCATGTAGCCAGATGTTTTCCTACATATAGCATCATCAATCCTATGCTAAAATTAATGGCCCTTCCAAGTAATTTTTGCTAAATAGTTGAAATCCAAAAGTAAAGACAATGCAAATTACAACACCAATACTAATTTATTAAGCTACCTCAATTGCATTCAGCTACCCCTTGTTCTT